GGTAAATTACTAACCACCGTAACAAAGTAGCGAATTACTTTGGAAGTTATTTCATATTTTTATAGTAACCTTTATACGGGGGAGGCGGAGACCTTTTGAAGTAGCTACATGCGACATTTTTTTTCTGCCTTCCCCTCTCATGCGGAGAGAAATAAATATTGACCGATTGATTGACTGATGTACATGTTTTGATCCGTTAGCGAAATTCTGCTAGCCAAATGTAAAGTGGCTTGTATTTTCACATAAATGCTTTAATAGCTGGCTCTGCTTCTGTGTGATTAATTGTTTTGTACCTTTTGTTTTCTGGTTAATGATAAACTGCGGATCTATCATTTCCACTTTGGGGTTTAGCACTGCCTGAGCTTGTTTTCGCAGACAATGTTTGCTTGTTTACAGTGTTTCGTAAGTACATCTAAAAAGTACTTAAAGTAAATTTCATGGTCAATTAGAGGTTATGTACTTCAATATGGTAAGTACACCGAGTGCAATGTACGGGAAGTGAATTACATAAATACAACATACTTTTGAAATAAAATATAAATGCTTTTTAACACAATATTTTATAAAGCCCTTTCAAACCCTTTTTTTTTTTACTTTACTTTAACTGGTATGCATAGCTAAAGAGATGATGAGAGGAGCATCCGTTTTTTTTTCGGAAATGGCGGCAAATATTGGATAAAGTCAAGTCGCCACAAAGCAGTAGTTTCACTTTCGCTGACGAAGTATTTACCACAATACACTTCTAAGGCACTTATTTGTATTGGTCATATAGCCGACATTACTTCACTAAGAGAAATGATCAGATGACGTCTTGAAAGGCGATAGCGCGTTTTCACACGACAATAAGCCATTTTTTGTTTCCAAATTTAGGTAAAGTACTTTGAAGTCGGGAGTTCTACATTCTTCAAAAAGAACCAGAAAAACTATGTTAGTAAAGTACCAGTACATGCTCAGATAATGTAGCTCAAGTAAAGTAAAAATATTCTAATCCTACTTAAAATAGTATTTCAAGTACAATGTACATAAAGTACAATACTTCCAAATTCAGCTTTTTTTTTTTTTGTTGTTGTTGTGTTTGTAAAATCGTTGGGGAAGTTATGGAGCTTCTCGAACGATCTTCGAATCTGGGAAGACCTGCACATGCTAAGTTTTGGGAGGAATTGGCAACGCAATGAGGTCACCTTTACGTTGTCCTTTAGGACGCGATCCTTCAAGTACTGCAGAAACTACTGGAGCGCCAGATGAGCTTCAGAGCGCGTGCTGCATTTTGTTGACTCCTTTGACCAAGGCTGCAGTGTTTACACCTCTTGTAGTGGGCGAGAGTTCCTACATTCGGGAGAAGCAGGGACAAACCTTCCCTTTAAATACGTCACGTTTATTTGAGCTTCGGGACACAGAGAAATGCCAGTCTTCGGCGCCAATTCCGCATTTACTGTGCCTCTCTTGCGACGTGTCTGTCCGCTCCTTGCGCCTCGTAGCAGGGTTCATGCCGGGGAAAGGGGGGGGGGGGGGGCTCGTATAACTTTTAGATGGTTACAGAACCTCCAAACCACTCGCCCCCCCCCCCCCCCCCTGCTTACGCCACATGCTTCCCCCTCTTTGCAAATATCAGCTGATTTTCCAACACCCTATCTATTTTTGAGCAGGAATGTTTCTTGACCAGCAAACCTACCACTAAAATTCGAAAGCAATTTATAATTACTATTTTATAATTTACTCGGAAAAAAGTAATTAAAGTAAACTAATAATTACCGAAATAAAAATGTAATTGAAAATTACTAAACTACTCAGAATAGTAGTTAAACTACAGTAACTTGAGGAGAGTAATTGAACTACGTACAAGTCTGATGAAGACACTTACGTTGGGTGATTCGATACGCTAACTCGGTTTAAAGGGGTACTCCACTGGTTTTTTCATTGTCTCCGATTTGCTTGAAATTTTTGCTAAACTAACCAACAAACATCGTGAAAATAGTATCCCAAGATTAGGTCAAAATATTGTTTTTTTTGCAAAGTTATTGAATTTACAGTTTTGGGGTTCACCGTGTTTTTCAAGCTCGAAGTCTCTACTGGCAACAATGAAAAAGTGACGTCAGTGGAAGGCCGGGGTTCACTCTTTGGGCTGTAGATTTTGTTTTAAACTGATTCGAAGCAGTTTCATGGTGTCGAATGAATGCTCGGGAAGCTCGCTGCAGTACCCGCGCTCCAGCACGGAACCAATGATTGGCATATTCTATTTTTCGGCTGCTTGCTCGACTGGCAAGCCTGCCTGCCACTGACGTCACGGCACTGAAAGGTGCGCGTATATTTGAATGTTGTTTTTTGCATCATTTTCATTTGCCGATTTCACAATACCTATTATGAATTTCGCGATACTAAATAGCATACCGGAGAGAGTAAAGGCGGGGGAGCCAGAAAATATAGTTAGTTAAGGTAGCTCAAAAAATCGGTGGAGTAACCCTTTAATGCGCTACTGTCGCATTCATGTAAACCACGCCGATGGGGAGCTGACAAAATGAAAGGTCTTGTCCCAGGATCTGGGGCGACCGGTGGTCAATGGGCTAGTTTCCTAATTTTTAGTGGAACATTCCAAACAATTTGAGAGGTCAGAGATACCGTCGGCTCGTTGTTTGTGTAAACCGAATACTACGATTGTATTTAGGATTTATCACAGCTTGCCTCCATATTTTTACATGACTGTTTATCCGCCAAGTTATTTAAATGGTGCTGCCTATTGTATTAAGAATAGCTGAAATAAAAAAGGCTCTATCAAAAAAGAAAAACGGCGATAGCCTTGTTCTCAAGAACCACGTACCACCAAAAACAATGTTTTATTTTTGTTTTTTGTGTGTGTGGAGGGGGGGGGAGAAGACCGTGCCTTTAGAGTTTGAAAATTGCATATAAGCAGGGGGGATGCAAGGGACCCGGAGTTCAATCTATCAACATTTTTATTTACTGATTTCTTTTAGAAATGGCATGACTAATGCGGTCTCCGCAGATGCGCCCCAAAAAAGTAGGATAATAAACTCAAATGTATTCATTATTACTTGTAATTAATACAAATAAACATGCTGTTCGCAGTAGAAACTTGCTAAGCGTCATTGAAAATAAAGCGAGTACATTAAAAACAAATTTGGGTCGAGTAGGAAGCGTGGTTGTGTGCCAAGTTTATCACTTGCAAAGAGCAGAATTCTAAAGTGCGAAAACACGGATAAGAGGAGAGAAAACCGCGCGACCGCGATTTCGCACTGCTAGACTTGCGCCCGTTCCACGAGTGGTAAGTTTAGCGCACCAAAGAACTTACCGTGCTCCACAAATCTTTCTCAAACTTAGCGGTTTTCAAGGACTTTCCGAAAGCTTCTAAATTGAATCCTATGTTTATGTTAACTAATTACAAGGTTAAAAACACATTTTAATTAATGTTGACTTATCATGGGAATTCGCTTCTTAGCTCATGTCTTTCTTGCCGTATATAACTTCCCTGCATATACAGAATTGATACATCTTTCAGGGCTTTTTGTTTTGACAAATTTGTAATGCCTAACAACACACCCTATTTATGAGGCTCGTGAACAATCGTGAGTGGCGAATAGATTTTCATATTTTATAACTGAGTTGCCCAGAACAATTTATTGTCAACGAGTCGCTGTTCGATATATGTTTATATCATTGATTAAAATGGAAATATACATCCTTGAACGGGACAAATTCTAGAGACGAATGTCGCTTTAAAGTTAAAGGGTAACTTCCTTCCAGGTACCCATCAGCATTCTAGCATTAATTTTTCAAAATTATTTTCAAATAAAAAGACGTGCTTTAGGACCACTTACATGGTTCCAAAATATACCCCCCCCCCCCTCCCCCCCAAGATATAAAAGACCAAAGAGAACCGAACGTAAACCTTTCCGAAAAACTGTTAAGATATGTTTTGGGGCGGTGGTTGTCAATTTCAGCTGCACGTTTGAAGCTTGGGACCTTTAATGAATATTAGACCTTACGATTTATACTTAAAGTTGTCGATGAGATTACCTGTTGTATAACAGACTACCATAAAAAGTTAAAGAGAAACCGAATAATCATGGTCAATGAAAGAATTCTTATGTGCGCCGTCAGAACTTCACGATTTTAACTCACGGCGTGATTCCTATGGCGGGATATTTATTTAAACGAACCGCATAAATCGGTCTTCTAACAAATCGCGGTGTAACCTGTCGCAGTAGTGTGACGATATATGTCACATGTTTACGATAAAAATGATAAGAATAATTAAACAAAGTCAAAAATAATATATTAAGTATCTTCTTGAGGAACAAAAACCTAGCTCGCCTGAAAACTTCAGGACATAGTGGATCATGGTGGCATTCGTTTTTGGATAATAGGAGAAACGAAATGAATGCCGCTGTTACTTCACTTGTCATGCACTGGCTTTCCTACATTCTCCTTAACTTTTTATGCATAAGACAAGCGTGTAGGAAGCTTTTTCTTAAAATCAGGCGAGCTTTAAATTTAATGCTTTCAAATAATGAAATCGCAACCAAAGTGCATTTGTATTACTCGTATTACTCACATGTATTACTCGTATATATTAGGGCGATAGATTCAGGAACAGAGTTCGCTGTGTTTTTAAAGGTCCATGGTGCCATTGAAATAAGGGCTGCAATTAAAAAAGTTTCGAAAATATTATCGTCAATTAGGAGGAATGTCGATCAACCTTCCGGTAGCAGTTACAAGCATTCCTGTTCCCTTGGTTTGTTCACGCCCTTCGTTACGCTTTCATAATTTTCATTATCATCCTTAAAAAAAAGGATGGCGTCACAAAGTTTCCTCACAAGGTACACCTCAGAAAACATTTGAGTGTGCCTTAATATTACGCGTTTATTTTGCACATTCAAACTTTTTTCGAGAGAGGCCTTTGAACCTGATTTTTAGAGACATAAGTTTTCTAATATTTTGCAAAAAAAAAATAATTTTCTTTTTTTTTAGTTTTCAAGATAATAAAAATGCAAAAGTGGATATCAAGTATTGCATTGCTCTTGCTTTTAAATGCGACATCTGTATGGCAAGCAGAAGCCGAAAAATATAAAGGTAAGTGATTTTACACAAATGTGACTATAATGCCGTAAGGTTAGTAAGTCGTCGCGCCTAATTGCTTGCGTTCTAAACTATTTGGCAGTTAACTGGTGTGTATAGTCGAACCAAAATTTGACTTTTAGGCGTAAGAAAAAAGTGGGCTGAGAGACGTCAAACAGGAGAATATGTTTATTCGTCGCTGAATTGTTCACTTGAGGCATAAGTATAATAGCGTTCACAGAAGCTAACTAAATTTAGAGGAATGTGCACTATCCTCCTTTGATTTCTCATATCGAAATTTTTGTAGGAATTGCGGAAAAAAAACTGGAACAGTAGATTGAAATAAAAAAGAAAACTTTGTGCTGTGATATTAAGCGATGAAACGGTTTCTTTTAAAGACAAGGTTAACCATCATTGTAGATATTTTAGTGAACACTGTAATTACAAAAACACGATTATAAAATGGTTTGCATTCAGCGAGTCGCTGCAGTATAATCAAGCGTTTTTTTTTTTGTCAGCTCTGCCAAAACATCAATTCATTTCTTAGGAGAAACGTCACTCTGTGGCATTGTCTCTTCATGTAGTGACAGTTTACAGTGCTATTGGAGAGCTATTAATTCATTTGATGCAAAAAAACCAGGTACACATTTTACACTTTTTGTTATGGCTTCTCTACTAAGAAGGACTTTCGTATTAGTATTAGCATGGGTTCTTTATTTCACAACGTCGGTCGCCTGAAGGTACAATTTATGCAGCAGGGCCAAGGAAAACGTTTCATAAGCTCTGTCACTGAACCGAGAAAAAAATAGCACATTTGTATTGCATTGAAAATTATAAAATGATTCAGCAATGTCATAGCTTTAAACTTAACTCTTACATTGAACTAACACTTCCGCCGCTCAATTATAAAACAAAAATTGTCCACCAAACAAAGATGTTAAAGCTGAACTGATCGTTTCATACAAACCAAAGTCCGTAAATTTAACCAAGTTTTGCCTACAAACTGAAGTGCTTTAGCTTAATTGAAGCCTTCACGAAATTCGATGCCTAAGCCGAGTTAGAGTTTTAATATAAGGGGGGGGGGGGGTGCCTTCATTGGATTCAGGCACTCCCACAAACTGAAACTTTCGTCGAATTAACCCAGTAGTCATAGTAAAAAAAAAGCTTATGCGCATTCAACCTTTCCCAAAAAACAACTACGAAACATGTTCAGCCAAACTTAATATTTAAAAAAAGGGACCTCTAGGTTGAGTGAAGGCTTCCCTCAACTTAAGATTTTATTCAAAATCAGGTGAGATTTATAATAAAGCGCTCAAAAATTCAAAGGGAAAACATGTGGGAAGTGTTTTTGAGCCATTTACGCACTTAACTGCGCATGTGCACTGCTCGGATCATGTCCAAGTCAAACCAAATATCATAAATGCATCTGCGTAGAAAAGTTGTTTTCGAGTTGCAAAGGACGTGCCACCGTTTCTTGTGCACATACGTAAGCGAATTTTTTTCCAAAGAGCCTTAAGTGATCCAGTTATTAAGATAAACCACTGATGATTCCTCTAACTAAATACGCATGAAACTGAATAACAAGATGGCAGAGTCTATCAGCGCTTTATTTTAATTGAATATGCGGGGCCGTTGTCTTGTTGATTTAATTAGAGGAATGTAATTAAACAGGGCTACGAATGTGTTTCACACAAATGGTTATCAAGTATATTTGAAAACTTACTAGAATGGAAAGTTGGGCGAGTTGGTATGAATTCATTTTGAAAAACAGCGCGAATACCACACGGACAAGGAGGAACACACACAGGACGAGGCGCTGTCCTGTGTGTTCCTCCTTCTTGTCCATGTGGTATTCGCGCTGTTTTTCAAAATGATATCTGAAAACGCTTGCTCGGTATTCCAACGCAAGCTCCAATATAATGTTTTAATTGTTTCAGTTCTTTAAACGCTAGATTATCTTTCGTGGCCTTAGTTCGGGCGTGATATTTGCATAAAGTACTATGCATATTTATTGAGTGTTCCAAGTATACATTGTATTTTGTTCATTACAGAAAAACGTTGTTCAGAACGAAAAGCATGTTATAACGATGTTTGCTGGAAAAGAGGTAACAATCATATTTTTTTAGGTTCAGCGAAATCTCCTTCGTTTAACCATACGCATTCCTAGTATTTCATAACTGACGTTTCAAGTACAGTATTTGGGGTTACTTCTATCACTACTCATTCTGATTTATTGGTGGTTTATTGACCACGCTGTCTGTATAGTAGGGGAAAGACAAAAAGACGCCATGACCAAGAATGAGCGGAATGAGATGCGTCAAAAAGATATGTCGAGGGTTTTTTTTTTATTGCAAAAGGTTTGCAGTACAAACCGCTAACATGATTGCTATACATCAACATAAGAACGCACTTCACTTTTTCACTCTTCCCCAAAATAGTTGCATTCTACGATTTATGCTGCTATTTTCTTACCGATTAAAAGCGTGATTGCGTATTAAGTTATTGCATGTGATGATACGTTCTTTCATATATGTTCGAAATTGGGAAACATTTAGGCTGCTTTTTGTTTTGGAAGCCTGAAAATTATTAAATGTTTTCCAGTCCTGAGAACTTTTAGCTTTCGATGCAAACAATCCCTTGTTAAAGAAATGCCGTACTGGAGGAGTGGAAAATCAATATAATTTCTTAATGTCAGTGTCCATGCTTAATTTTATTAAAATGCTAGTTGTGTAAGCCCGCTGATAACATAAGTATACAAATGTTATATACGTAAGTAAATATACCTATAGACAGTGACCGATACGGTACCTAATTCATTTGTTCGAGATGTGAAATTTGGACACAATATTTTTTTACTTTTCGGTAAAACACTTGAAATAATAGCGTACAAACAAAAAAAGCTTTCCTAGCCTGGACAATTCTTGGAAGTCATGTGTCAAAGAATAATAAAGCCGGCATATTTTGTAATCTGTCATTAATTGCCTAATATCCACTATTTATTAAAATGGGTACTGGCCTCAGCTCACAAATTTCAGATACAAATATGTTGCCCGTCGTCAAAAAATGCCATTGTTGTTCTTAAAATTCAAGAAACAAAATTATGTTTTGTATTGTTCTTTGGTGGTGTTGGGCTGTCTAGAGTCTGCCATACCAAAACCAACGAATACAAAATCGCCAAAATCTGCTTGCCCGAGGAAATAGCAAAGTGCAGAACACATCTTCTAAGACCACTAAATAGATTGGCTGAAAATGACTCGCTGCCGGCGCCCTCTGCGGAAGCCAACGTCACTTCCGGAGGACTTCCGCAGCTCCATTAAAGTCTAGTTATGGTATCTGCTTTTCGCACATTTAATTTTTGACAGAAAATAGCGCAGACCAGCATTTAGCCTTTTGCATTTTAAAAACAGCTAAGGTAAATTTTGATCACGACTAACTAAATATTATGATTGTTATGTGCGAGACAAAGCTAATATTAAAAAAAATACATAATTAGTTTATTGTACACAATTTACTTCCGAATTATCAACATAACCTGACGTCCGCCGTGGTCGATAATCTTAATTTAAAAAACAATTTTATTATATCAAGTTACTTTTTAAAGATTTTTCTCATTCATTCGTGAATCACCCTGTAATAAAGAGCGTTTTATTTTTATTATTCATTTGTAAAAGGTGCATAACAAAGAAGAGGCCACTCACGGGAGGAGATGAGTTGGCGATTACGTCAACTAGGGAAGCTGTTATTAAAAGTATGTTTTAAAACAATTGCATCACAAATTGCAGCATTTGGAGCCGAAAAGTGGTTCCAGTCAGATATGTTCAAGCTGTAAGTGAGATGCCGAGTGTTTGAGCGTTAACATTTGCTAAGCCAACCTTATAAATGCAATTACGAGGCGCGGAGTGGTGAGATGGTACAATGATGAATTTCTGGCTGAGGAATAGTTTATGGTAATAAAAATTGTAGAATGCACTCAGACAAGCATTTTTACAGCCGAAAGTCAAATCAGGTAATGATTGGTATTGGTATTGGTATTTATTGCGTACCCAAAACACCGTGAAGGATTTGATATTTGTGCACAAAAAAGTCACAATGAGTTGAACATGCAAAGACGTGAAATACAGGAGGGAAACATCAGTGACAATAAAACAAATTACAGACAACTCGGTATTCAAAGTAAAATAAGGCATGGAAAAGAAATCATGCTGCACAAGGCTATTAGAAAAAATTGAATTCTATGCATTGGTGACCCTTCAATCTGCTTATCAGGATAAAACGTATCGCCGAGTCGCGTATGTTTAGCTGGCACACGTAAGCGTGAACTACCCAAAAGATCGGGCACATCAAAAGGACCTTGGATGAGTTTCTGTAAAAACACCACATCTCGGCGATGCCTGCGGTCAATTAGGGTTCTAGGTTTAAAACTTTAACAAGAAAATTGTAGTCGAAATAAAGTCCCCTGTTAAAATGCCTATCGTAGACCATGCGTATCAGACGCTTTTGTACAATTTCAATGCGCCTGCAGTCGCTATGTGATATAAAGTTCCACACAACCGACGCAAAATCAAGTCATGGCCTAACCAACACCAAATAAACGTAATGAAGTATCAGGTGTCTGGAAGTGTCGAGTCAAACGTGAGATCATCCCGAGCAAGATAAGATAAGGTAGCTTTCACGTCATCTGCACTAGCCGTACGAGGACAATTAGTCAGGATGAAGCTGTGTGCTCAGTCTTGAATGGCTTCCAATGTTGCGGTCAGACTTTGATGATCGGGATCCCATACTGATAATGGCAATTGTTTTACTAATTTTACCATTGACTAAACCTTATTAGAAAATAAGCACCGAAAACAAAACAAAAATCCTTAGGCTTAAGGCAACCAACAGGTCGCGAGTGATAACTAGCACGTGAAGTACCTAAACTTCACTAATTAACTGTCGAAACATCCATTTGAGCTGGCATGTGACAATTTGAGAAGTGTTGCCAGTCATTAAAGAATGCCGAAAGTGTAATAATTCGGATACAAATAACTAAACACTGATCCGGGCTGTTGGCGAATTTAATTGGCGAGGACAAAAATACTAAATATAGACGTGAGAGAGTGATCTCAGCCTCCGCAGCGGGGACGGGAGGCCAGTCATCGCGAGCCGATCGAACACCGCCTAGAAGACAAGGCCGTAGTGCTAACATTTTTTCGTCACAGGTGAAGGCCGAACTTCGACACAGATTGGAAACGAGTGCTGCGCCAGTGCTCAGCTTCGAATCAAGTTTGAGCCGAACGCTGACGAAATCGTCCTGTCCAGTCTTTGGCCAGCGTTGGACTTCGCTGGTGACGCCATCTTATACAGGACTACGGCTTTGTTATCTAGGAGGTGTCGGGCAATCTCAAAACGCCGTCAAAACGTAAGTCTCTAGATAAGAGCTTCCTACCGGTAGCGACATCCTTTGAAGCGCCGACTGCGTGACAGGGCAGGTTTTAGGAAGCGAATGGCGGCGCACAGTAGGGGTTTGAACTGAATTCCGTCATTTTGTTCCAGCAGAATGTGCTTTGTTATTTCTATTGGTTTGCGTTACTTGTAAAAGAACTATGAAGGGACTTTAGCGAAAACAAGGGTCACGTTGTCGTAGGAAAGGTGCGCAACACTCCGACCTGTTCTCAGGTGCCAAGCTTCGGGCGATTTATATCATTTGTTTTGTATGGCAGACTCCCGACCACCCAGCCATCCATTGAAGACCGCGTAGTAGGATTTCGTTTTCTGAATAATAACGCTTGTGATAGCATGTTTAGACAACAGGAAACAACTCTACAACTGGAATGTGTTAGATGAGGCGAATACGTTAAACGTTAAATAGGGGAGATTAGGATAACATTTCTAATTATCAGTTTTTATTTGTTCTTTGACGTGCCCTCTGGACGACACTGTTACCCAGAGGAAATTTTTTATACTCCGTGAAATGTTCATTTATGTTGTTTTTAGTATGATAAATCACCATGCATATAAAAATAAGATGAAATCAAATCATATACAGCCGCACGGATATCTTAAATACTGATATACCCGTACCCCTTTACGCGCGCGTACAAGCGGAGATACGTACACATGACAACACCGGTATGCACACGCAAATGCTTGACCCAACCAAACTTTAATTTCAGCTAACATGCTTCTATTTTCAAGAAGTGAGGTCGTTGGTTCATGTCACGATTTCTACCATACTATGTGTTATGGTTGGGTAAGAATGAAGAAAACTCTCGGGCTAATTGAAAATCCTGAGACGCAGCTTCAGCTCGATCTACACGGTGAGAATATTCCTGTACAGTTATTGATATTTTCACGAATAAGAAAATGCATAGCGAATTGCTGGGAAATTGTGTTGCACGAGAACGTCCGGCGTCTTCGCTTTCGGCGCTCTTCACCGGTTAGTTTGTCGACTGGCATAACGCATGGCATGTACACTCAATAGCAATTCCTGGAATGGAAATACCGGCGCAAACCCGAGTTAACAAAAAACAAAAACAAAAAGAAAAACTGTGACCGGGTGTTAAATTACCATCTGCCGGACTCAGAACGAATGGTTTGCAAGGCGTTCCCCCCAAATAGCACCCCAACTCACGGCGATGTGTCGTGAAACTCTGGAAAGGTAATCGTTTCACAATCTAAATGGTCTTGGGTAAATTCCCGCCATGCACAAACGTTTTCTGACTGCCATGCCCCTTCTCCCCCGCTCAAACCCAATCAGCGTGGAGCCTCGCGGTCACACATTTATCCGGGCTTCACTTTTGGACTTCAGTAGCCAAAGAACGTTTTACGTGTAATTACAAAATACGCGTTATCTGCCTTAATGAACAATTATCAGAAAATTACGAAATGCGAAAACTTTACTGTTCTTTTTAACTGAGGGTAAGCAATACTGCGATTTCTAGCTCATCAGAAAGTTATCGACGTCCAAAGCTGTGAATAGAAGACATTGGAGGAATATACAAGGTGAGTCAAAGGGATTTATTTGCTGTTTGAAGGGACGGCATAAATGTATTCCTAAATGTATCAAGCAAATAGTTTCCACAGAGGTGGCTGACAAATGGGCATTAAGGGTATAAAATTATCACTGAAATAACTTATCTGAGTAAAACGCTAGAAATCAAAAACTTGAAATCCCTACCCACAGCGGTTATGTGCTTATCAAAGGCGTGTGATTGGCGCAGCAGTTGACAGATGTCAGGAGTGCTCTCCACGTTGACAGGTGGGGATCGGCCGTGAAGGCTCCGAGTACTGCATTTTTCAGCGCCAGCTTCGGTGATGACACCAATTTGGTCGGTGACTTGTTTTGAAAGGTTGGAGAGCCCGGAGGTTGCTGCCGAAACTCCGCCCGAAAACGTCGTCGGACCACTTCCGTCAGCTTGGTCTCCCCGCATCAGAGAGTAACCTTAACTATAGTCGGATGCAACCTGAGAACAATCTTTTAGCTCCACCCAGAAGCTCATTGCGCCCATCTGAAGTGCCTCCGCCGTCGAGAAAGTAGTTCGCTAGCAACGTTGCTTTTTCTGCCTCCAGGAAACGTGTCTTAAACTACTACAATATTTATTTAATTCATTCAGGACATTTAAATAAGTTAGAATACGTTTATGTCAACGAAATAGCTGTTTAGTAAAGAAAGAAAGTCATGTCCAATGTACTGTCTTCCCAATTCATTTTCTGTCCAAGATACTGTCTAACATACCGTCTAACATACCTCTCAGCAGTGCTAAGCCTCGCGCCCGCTTCGAAATTTTCGTCGGCGATAGCGTCACTGGATTCTCACGTTGTCGCGCAAAAACTGCTGCAAACGCAAGCCGATACCATTAAATTTCGTGGCATAACCTCGGGCACGTAAAACACGGTGCAAAAGAGCAGAATAATTGTCATGACAAACTAGCGTCGCGTTGCTGAGGCCAGCAGCCATGTTGAGCTTTTTTTTTTTTTGTCAGAAGGATCGCGATTGGTCCACGGAATCGTGACGTCATGAAAACAATTGGCTGGCGTTTCTCGGCGTAGGATTACATTTTCCTCTGAGAGGCATTTCCGGCATTTTCTTAGCTTGCAACCGACTATAGCTCGTTGGGAGCTAAGCGCACCATGAACATGACTGGACCCCAAAACAGCATGGATAGAAGTAGCATATAAGAAAAAAGACGCGGTAGTAAGCACAGAGTTCAAAGCAGACGACGACATGTAACCGAAACTAATTGTCAAAAAAAGGGAGGTGACGTCTGGTTTTACCTTAATTTTTTTTTTATGTTTCATTAATATATTACAATAATCATGGAAAAAGAAAATCGCATCGATTCTGCCTCAGAAATGCTGTCTGCTATTTTCGAGGTTGAATGAAGCGCCCGTCATGGCCGCCTAAGAACTTACGTGCTGCCGCGCCAATCAGATGTTTTTTTTATTAGCAGACGGCCGCCTTAGGTAGGAATTTAAAGTTTTCAATTTCTAACTTTTTACTGAAGTAATTTGTTCGGTGAATTTATTGTACACCTAACGCACGTTCTTCGGCCACCTCTGTCAAAACTCCTTAGCTCGATACGTTCAGAAACCTATTTAAGCGGACCTTCAAACAGCCATTGATTCTTCTGACTCATCCTGTATTTCCATATAAAGCAGATTTCTTGTCTTTTATTAAAGCGTGATTTAGGATCCTTTACCGTTTTCATAATTCGGATAATTCGTTAAATATCTCTCCAAATTAAGAACTGATGTCTGTTCTCCACCAATTCCTTATTCACAAAAAGTCTGCGGTGCGCTTTGATATATTTAGATTCTGCGCGCATGAATTACTGAGATGTCTCATTCAATGATGCTAGTTTCATATATCCTTCACAATCAAGACACTTGGAGGATGCTTCTAATTAAGAAGAGGTGCTCCTGAATACAAAAATTGCGACTCCACAGTTCACCTATGATATAAGGTAGGAAGCTTCTGGAGGTGACATGATGCCACCAGACCTGAAGCCAGAAGTGAGATGGGAAACGCCTCCAATGATGTCCAACACCACAGCTGTGGTTTCGGTCACAGCTGTTTTGCTGTGACCAAACCCCAAAGGCGAAAAAAATACACAAAGGCGTTGAACGCCGTGATGATGCAGGTTAGGTGCTGTTTGATGGGCCCGACCGAATTGTAGCGTCAGTTGCGGTTCGGATTTAGAGTGCAGACATTGACCACGATTCCAAGTGTAAATAGTGCCTTGCATACCACCCTGCCGCCAGCCAACACAAGGAGTAGACGAAGGAAGTATGTGGCTAGCGACGTGGCCGACCAATCTGGTGTTCGGCTTCTCGACTCCAGATACACTCTCAAAACGCCTGCGAGGTGACTTTCCTGCAGAACACGAATAGAGCCTATAACGGCAAACATTAAAAGTCTTCGACCAAATAACGAAGCTGAGCATACTCTAGACCAGTGTCCGGTATGTGCCATGGGCGCCGCCATGTTGGTTTATGCTCACACCATGACACAGTAGGGGGTGCGGCGCTTTTTGCCAGACCCCGTTTTTTTATTTTTTAGAAACCTTCATACATATGGTAACGCAAGAACGTCAGAAATGCATAGTTACGAAGCTCCATGAACCTCACCGATGCCAAAAGTGATGTTAAAACAAAAAATATTCCTTTTAGGCGCAGCCCTTCTCGTCACGAGAGCTTGCGTTTGAGGGTATCATTTCCCATTTTTATCGCTTTGGGCTAGGATTTCGGGCACTGGTTTACAAGCTCTGCGAAATGAAATGTGCTCAGTAACAATGAACCAGTGACCTGCACGTCATTCTCATGTTCTCTGCACTCATAGCTCTTCTTTTTTTCTTTTTTTTAAATACTTTAGCATTTATTGCCCAGGTGCACGCATCCGCCTTTCGTTTGGACTAGTTTGGACTGGTTTGGACTGGACTGGACTGGAGGGAACTGGTTGTATGAGGTCGCGACACGGTGCGCTGTTCCTGTCGTGCTCTTTCGCTTCGTTCGTTCGCTCATTACGTGCAGTTACCCTCGTGCATGAAGGAGAAAGTTTTCTGGCACGCTTCCGGTGACGCGCCCCGGAAGCGGAGGAGGGAGAAAGTTGTGGTGGTTGCATCCGAAACAGCCAACGCCCGGGAGAATAGACTGGCTCGCCCAACACAACAGTATGCGGACTGTTACGAGGATGCAATTTTCATCCCTTGCTCAGTAGAAAACCCTGCACTAAATCCAAATGTATTTTGCCGAGAATCAGCTCAACGAGAGCAGCGAGTTCGGCGTATGTTTATCTCGTCTGATCGTATTCTGAGCTTTGTCATTTGCAGAGATTCTCTTATTATTGGCCGTGACTGGCTGTCTCCGTGTTCTGCAGGAAACTTAACTTAAATACTGTATTTTTTTTTTAGCCTGGCTTGGTTTGGCAGTGGTTACCACGCATTCAACGGCGCATGGGTTTCCGTTTTACTCATTGTCGCTGTCACTTAGGATACAGCGAACGTGGCTGACACTTATTTCTGAACTGACCATGATTTCTGGTAAAGCATAGTTTTACAAGGCCCATTTTCACTTTTGGAAAGCCTGCTTTTGGCCATGCTTGTGAACCAAACAAAACCAGGTCATTTAGGGTTGTCCCTACAGCTGACGTGCACGTTTAAAGACTTGACATTCAATCTCCTTTCAAGTGAGGCTGCTGAATCAGCGTCATTGGCCAACAAAATTAGCTTCTAAATTTTAACTATCATGTGTTCTCACCGTGACCATGATGGTCCTCTGAACAGACTGAATAACATGTTTAGCGGATTGCGATGGAATGTATTGCATTGGTATATTAAAGTTTTAAACGCTTTGGTAAAAACATGTAAGCATGAGATAGCATAAGTAAGAAAAAAAGCGGCCTTTTTTTTTATTGGTAAGCCCTGTCTGCGTGAAATTACCAAATGACTTGGTACATCCTTTTTCTTCCAATGATCCTTCAGTCGTAAGAAACACCACACTGGTCCTGACTGCAATTTGAATATTTCGCAAAAACAAAAAAATAAGCATGGCACCAGTTTAATTCATGGATGAAGAAATAATAAAACAGTTAAAACAGGGACAACACAACCACATCTTTCAACACAACAGGGACAACACAACCACATGAAAGATGTGGTTGTGTTGTCCCTGTTTTAATTGTTTTATTCTTTCTTCATCCATGACTTAAACCAACACGCTCTTCTCCCGAGCATACCAGTTTAAGTGTTTTTTTCTTTTTTTGCTTATACCTGAGACTCACACGTATTTGTATGCCTTTAAATATCAACACACGCACCCTTCGGGTGCCTATATGCTAAATTGTAAGGCGACACATTACGAGGCCTATGAACGCAATTCATTTAAAGTGCCACACCATCATCGGGATCACCCTATATATTGTCAGGCGGGTAGAATAGCTTGCTTTACCGTGCGAGTAGAATAGAATAGCCATATGGTGCATCAAAACTTGTGTATAATCAAAAGCACGCACGCCCCCACAGCAGGAGCCGTGGGAATAAAAGTACATAAATATGAATCGTATTTATCTGACAATAGTCGTGGAAAGGTATTATTGCGGCCTTTTTAATCGCCCATTCACGTGTTCGCCTGTTTTGCAGCTGCCCTATCACGGATAAGCTACATACCTCTAACTCTCACTCACAAGACTCTGCCGTACCAGATGGTCCCTCAGAAGGTCAGCTTGGCCTACAAGGCTTGCCTACGTGGTGAGCAAAGCTTTTGCATTGTTTGAAGTTATTTTTTATTAAAGGGAGGGGGGGGGTTGGTTTGGTGAATACAACACCAAATGCTGCAATTGTAGTAGAAAAAGAAACGGCCTGTTAATATTTTTATGAATGTTCAAAACGTTATATGCACATTGAACTGTGTGAGTTAAGAAAGCTTCCTTAATGAAACAAAGGCTACAATAACCCTTCCAGATACGGCGGATTATATTTGGAAACTTGATATTAAAAGGACTCTTATGGAGCATGGAATTAGTAACTGGCCACGAAAACGCGCCGAGGTCGACAAAGCAAAAAAGAGCCTTGGACAATTGCTTCAAGAGACAGGACTTAAACCCTTATTAAATTATGCTGTGGTGAAGAAATCGTCTTTTCCTTCTGTGTATCGTCTCCAAGTAAGTTAGCAAGACATGGTATAATGTTGTAATGTAGTTGTGTTGGGGCATCTGTCGTATGCGTTATTTAATATTCGCAGTGTTAAAAAAGTAGAAACAAATCACGAAGAGACTAAAAGGGCAAGGCCATCATTCTCTTCCCGGATACCACGCGGTGTTCGTAAACTATTGGAGTACGTTGAACATTACACTTTTTTTCGTCATATAGTTTCGTAGTTGTCGCTATAGCGCTACCGTCTTTCATACCATCCGCGACTCTTGTAGTTTCTTTAACAACGTTTATGTTCCCACATGGAAGTTACCTCTCACGCGAGACCACGCGAGTGGCATGCTTTTGCGACTTCACAAAAATATATGATGCAAACTGAAATTAAGTTAAAAAAACGTTTTAGAGTTAGATAAGCCACCTCGTGAATCATTGGCTATTTTCTGTGGAAAACTGGCGGATTAACGCCTAGGCCAAGAACAGGCTGGCGAAGTCATAAAGAAATGTCTCCCGTATATACATTTACAACGACAGACTTCTCCTGCGCATGAAACCTGTGGTATTGTTTGCGTTGTTTCTCTCATTTTATGTTATGTAATATACATTTAGTTTTTCCCGACACCTAGGGGCTAACAGGGAGTTCAGGCTTCCTAAAACATTGTTTCCGCTCCACTACGCCTAGTGTAATTTTCTGTGTTGAACTCTAAATCTCGCAGAGGGTGCGGAGTTTGCGAAACGGCGCAAACTCTACGGACGTTTTTTGTATATAGATGGTTCCCGCAGTCCCGCAACACCTCCACAGATTCTAAAACAAAAATAGGTGTAGGACTCACCTCCTAAAAATGCACCCGACTTGTCACTGTGGACTCCTGTTTAAAGGGACCATGAAGACTATCTGGAAGTTCAGTTTGACCATCCAAATAGATGTCGGGCGTCTTCCAGGCATTGTTGACGAAATTTTAGCCCCATGTTGTGCTTGCGCGCCGCACAATTTCATTCAACATGTACAGTAAAAATCACACCGGGACACATGACAACGAGACCCCAGACTGCGGAAGATATCCACCTTTCCAGTCACGTGTACCTTGACATCAATTGAGGCTGGTCAGACGATTGGTAAAATGAACGGAGTACGTTCGTCTTTGGTTTTAATCGAAAGTTGTAATACTTCGTTTCTAAACTCAATAGCAAAGAAAACCATACATTTCATCAGAACGCTTTTCTGCAATAGCTATAAAATACATTTTCAGTCCGGTGACGCATGGACTAAAATAGCAGAGCACTTTTTACTCGTGAATATTGGGTAGGTACTAACTTAAAAAGCGTTCAGTGTGCCAATAACATTAATTTTTTTATTTTCTCATGACAAATACAAGAAATGGCGCATCATTGGGGTTCTCTCCGTTTTGTCACATGATTCTTCGTTTCATGCGTGAATATAAGTGCAAAATTTGTTCCAGGCTGACGTACGGCAGTTTCGGACACTCGTCCGGGTCCACGTCAAAAAGCTTCTTTCCGATCTCGCCTAGCACGCCGCGATCTATCCTGCGAGTCATTTTTGAGCCTGTCGTATACTCAAGTGTTGTGCGCGAATATGCGGGAACGACGACATCTGTAAGTGCCCCTGCGCGATCTCAAGACTTTTCACTTTTACGCCGAAACTACTCGAGCAGGACCAGGCATACATGTGTCATGTCTTGGGCTAGCAAATTTGATGGCGTTCGGGTTAAACTTGTCACGGTGTCCTCTTTCACTTAGTACGCAACAGCGTCACACAACTATTATTTTTCTCCGTAATGCGATAGCGCCTCTCCTAACACGATTGGCAATAAATGATGTGGTCAAACAAATAAGGTCTATACACACAGTTGCGTTTCACTAAGTTTGACCGCGTTGTGTCGTCAAACGGCCGCGAGTCACAGCTTCATTCGTGCTTGGTGTGAAGCGTTGTAACCTATTCAGGGAGAGGTCGGCAAGCGGAATACAAAGCGCGAATTTTCTGGTTGCTCGTGATCGCTCCGTGGTAAAACGCTTTCGAACCACAAAGCGTCGCTATAGCTCACGGCACCATATTCGCTTATGAAAACTAGATTCTATCTAAGCCGACGGGAAATGATACATTAATTACCTCTATTTTAAGAGAATTCGTATGACAGGAAAGACGAACATCAGTTTCGATTTCGTTGATATTCGCTATACGAAATAATAAGCTTTATGGAACTGTATAAAAATATTAAGCATATTGCAATGTACTTGGAGAATAAAAAAACAACCTTTTCTCTACAAAAAAAAAACTTCAAAATCGTCTTCATGGTCCTTTTAAGAAGATAACATTACTCCCTGCAATTGGGTGCAACTTTGAACCCAGGCTTAGGGGGTAACTTTCCTTCCTTAAGAAAATTAATTGAGGCCCTTGTGGGGCAAAAATATATGTGCCACAAGGGGCTGTTTTTGCCTACTTTTGGGAGTAAGACTATATGTTTTCAGCATATATTTACCTCCTTTTAGGGGTAAGAGCAAATGCCACCATTTAGGTGCACGTCAACAGCTTTCGGCGTTAAGACCACTTGTTATATAGTCTGGTTTTCTTTTTTTCTGGGGATAATGTCATTAAGAAGTTTGGAGCGTTAACTTTCCCGCAAAGAATATGAGGGCGCAAATCGCTGCAATCTATGGAGTATGCTCGGCGATTGACGCGGGTAATATGCTTAGACCTAAAAAAAGAACAGTCAGCTGTGCAACTGTAGATGGGTTTTACTATGCTCATTTCAAGATTGCAATCTATTTGTGTTTATTTCTTTTTAGGTTAAGACATTTCAAGCATCGCCGAACTCCCTTCGTATATTGCAGCGGTTGGCTTTACACACGGCCATTGAAATAAAAAGTCAAAAACAGTATAGTTTTGTACAAAAAAAATTATGTCACAACTCCCAAGTACATTGCAGCCACCGCACTAAAATAAACTCGTGACAACTTACAAGTATATTCAGTGTCGTTCGTAATTTCTCTGAGCTCGCTGAAATCGAAGAAAGCGTTAGAAGTTGGAAGGCATTCACGAAACACGAATTATAAAAAGTCGGATTAAAACACTATGAAAAACCTATAGTGATGCACTTCACAAGTGTTAAGGAAACTATTCAATTTATTTCCAAACCTTACTGCCGAATGCTGAACTTTGGAAAATTTGAAAATATTTTGGCCGAAGTAATTTTTCAGTATAAAATCGTGTGCGTTTTTTATTTATACATAAAAAAAAGCCAAAAAAAAAAACTAAAATGCGGAAAAAAGAAAACAAACAAACAAACACACACGAGAAAAGACACACGCAAGCACCGTGTGACTCACACGGTGCTTGCGTGCGTCTTTTTACTCCAATTTATTTCCTCTAGGTATACCGTCAATTTCCTCTCGGAAATACGCAAGCAACGAACATACAAAAAAAATATTAAGAAACAAGTCAAGTGCCCAAATGCGAAGAGAAAATCAAAATAAAACAGCAGACTGCTCTTACCTGCAGAATACTTGTGCCCTCTTACCTACCATGAGATGAGATGACTGAGAAAACAGCACAAACTGCTTGTAGTGATGGTCTTCAGTAAACATCCAGGACTGCCGACTAAATAACCCTTAGAAGTTGATGCAGATAGTACATATAGACATATTTAATTAACTTCGAATAATGCAAACACGGACCACCTAACACCGCCTACTGAATGATCAGACTTTCAGACACATGTGATCACAAACGCAATAAATGGTATGATGACGACAAAATAATTGCTATTCCCGATACAGAAAATAACTTAATCAGCTTATTCCCTAATATGCAGCATATTAGGGAATAAGCTGATTAAGTTCTTAAGTTAAGCCAGACACATGTATCGGTGTTTGCGGTGTGCCAGAATAATTAACTCCGACATTTATATTTTCAATCTTGAGGTGACGAGATTGGGAATCAAACAAGGTGTTTGGCCGGGGAAGCTAGTAAATGCCTGATCCGCTCTTACTCTGCGAAAAGACACAACCTTGTGAGATCCTGATTTCGGATTTCAACGTCGAACGCGACAAAACAACGGTGACAAAAGGAGGGAACCCCCTTCCTCCTCCCGCCCTAAATGTAGGCGATCCCTCGATAGGCATGGCGCCTTTACGCCCGGCTCCATCAGACGCCACCGCTCAACCCCCCCCCCCCCCCCCTGCCTCCCCAACCCTCCACACACGCAAACACCAAATAAAACTCCTGGCTACACCATTGAATTAAGAATGGCTGTGTCACGGGTGAGAACGTGGTAAAGATAGGTAAAGAAAATATGCAATACAAATCACACGAACACAAGTGGTACATGCCGCAACAAACCAGCAAAGGACTATACATGTGCAACCAAATTTGAAAGGAACATCAGACACATGCAAAGACAAAATACATTTTCTTGAACAGCCTGGACGGGAAATGGAAGGAATAAAATTAATTTACAACGAACAAGAAAGAAATTTATGAGCGTCCGCGGAAAAGTGGCCACGTGAGTGGCCGCTATTTATCACGTGAAGCTCGCGCTCTTTCGGAAGCTTCCTTCGGTCTCTAAAAGTAACTTATTCATCTTCGTTTGAAGTGCAACAAATAAAGAATATTAATAAGTAACCTTTAGAGCCCAAAGAAAGCTCCTGATAGAGTGCAAGCAGCACGCGACAGGCCTGTGCTCCGGTAAGAAAATGACGCCGGTTCGCGTCGGAGTGTTCTGCTTCGGCGGCGGCGTTGGCGGCGTGGCGGTGGTGGCGCAGCGCGGCGGCGCACGTGCCTGCCACGTGACCAGCGCTGGCTGCTCGCGCGGGCGCCAACTGCAAATTCGTTTTGCGCCGTAAATACAGCTATAAACGTTTCTTTTTTCCTTCGTTGTAAATTCGTTTTTTCTTTTATGACACTCTTTTTCCATCTAGGCTGTTCAAAAATTTGCTTTTTTTCCCTTTGCATGTGTCATTTAAAGTGCTTTGAAATCTATCAGCGTGCTAACAGTAA